CACACACACACACACACACACACACACACACACACACACACACACACACACACACAGACACACGTGTCTATGGATGACAGTGGGGTTACATAGTGGAGATAAAAAGTGCTCTTACATCAAATGTAAGTGTGATGCATACTGTGGGCCCAAAACAGCTGAAATATTTACAGTCTGAACCACGACGTGAATGGAAAACAAACATCAGTGATTTTTACAGCTTTTATAGCTCATATATTCTTATTTTTATTCTTTACAGGAGCTTCTGTGGGACGTAGAGGGGAGGAGCACGGCAGGTTCACCATCACTGGTGCAGATTTTCCAGAAAGTCACTGTCATGACCCTCCTGAGGCCTCTTGGGTCACATTTTGAACCCCAGGGGCAGCAGGAGGGTCTCTGCCAAGAGTTAGATGAGAACATTAAACTCACTCCTGCGTCAGTACACAGTGGAGTTTTACATGTTGGTCTCTGCTATAAAAAAGTGTAATAAATAAACATAAATATATCTATTTGGTTCTCGACTTTGAGTATGACCATCAGTGTTCCTGACTTGATACATGAATCACTCCACATACGGATGTTCAGTCCGGCTGTCTGTCGAAAAGAGAAGCAGTGAAAAATGTAACTCTGTTTTTCTTGTGAGAACTGATAGACGTGGATAAATTTAGTTTGCGTCCTTTTAATAAAGAGGAAAAACCATCAAAGGTCAGTGAAATATCAGTGTGTTGAAAGGCGGACAGGTAGTCACAGGTCTGACTGTATCACGGTGTGTAACACACTGAAGATGGAGCTGAGGAACAGTGTCCCAACAAAACAAAATACACTTTCTATTTGTCGATATATGGGACTTGTAGCTCACATATTAATGTAACACCAACAAGAAAGTACAGATTAATTTGAAACAGAAAAAGACTGATGTGTTTCTAGTTCCCTTTGATCCATAGCTAACCTCCTGAATATCTGCATTTCTAACCAACAGTGGTGGGCACAGTTCCACTAATCTAACAGCTAATAGCTAACTTATTGATTAACTAATTAGTGTTATTGCTAACTTTATAGATTTTCTAATTATCCATTCTAGTTATCCATTTCTAAAAATGGATAACTTTAGCGGTTACTAGTAAAAGTTAGCTTCGACTAATTTTAATTTTTTTTTACCAGCAAAAACATACCTGCTAACATTACCGATTTGATCCCACCTGAGGGTGGGCTGKTTGCCCAAATGTCCYGCATTTGAGACTTTTCACAGAGTTAACGGTAAAGCAAAGTGGGAGCTTGTATTTRTCTGCAACAGACTCGTAAAATGGTTTTGTGATTTTAGTTCAGGCAGGTTTATTGATAGTTGCGGCCATCAACCATAACTTATTAGAAGTGTGGAGAGCAGAGGAGGGGGCTGTCRGTTTGTATCTGTGTGTGGGTTTGTGGTGATGGGGGTCACTGTGTGTGTCGTGAGTGTAACGTCTAAAAGTTTCAGGAAACGTGAATGGTTTCATCTTTAGTTGCTGAGGCAGAAAATAGTGTGAGAGAGAGTGTGAAGGTGGAATCTGATGATTATTTTTGAAATCAAGATTTTATTACTGACTTTCATTTTTTCTAATTTATTTTTGTTTACAACCAGAAGTTTCACCTCCACTGCTAACTGAGTTAAATAATAACAACAAAGAGAGATAATATTTTGTGCTTTTGTTATTGATGAAGGCAACAGACCTGAATTCATTCTGTAATCACTAATTTGGGTATTACTGTAGACACTGACTAAACAATTCGTTACATGCTAAAAAAAAGTAATAACTCCAACATGAGCGGTGCATGTAAATGAAATGAGGAAGACGTTATTCTTCCATGAACTGTTCTGCTCAARAAAATACAGCACAGCTGCATCTTTTTACTGTTTTATATTTACATTGTCACTTTAAATGTTCTCTAATCCAGAGATTCTTAACCTACGGTTCACGGCCCACAATTGGGCCGCAAGCGCCACCTTGAGGGCCTCAAAAGTACAACAGTTTTTAACTTTGGGCCGCAGAGGGC